CAGCCATGCTGGCTGGGGAATTCTGGGAGTTGAAGTCCACTCATCTTAAAGTGGCCACGTTTGGACAACACTGTCCGAAATGAAAGGCAGCATCTCTCTGGAGGTTCTGCTGACCAACTCGTGGGTTGTTCACCATTTGATTAGTCATTGTAGAAACAGACTGCTGGATAGCAGATTATGCTAACACCACTAGTTAGCACCCCAAAGTTAATTTTGCAAAACAAAATCCATTTTTAAATTGCTGAAATTGCATTAGAATACTAAGAATGTCCAAGAATCTTGGCAGTGAGATCAATGAAAAAACAGGAGGGCCATCAGGAAGAATGGCCTAACAGCAAGAGCCATTCAACCATGGAACAGACTTCTTCAGTGGATTCTCCTGTGCTAGAGTGGTTTAAGCAGTGGCAGTGGATTCCTGTGGCAGGGGATTCCTGAACTGGGCAGGGGGCTGAACTAGATGATCTCCAAGGTCTCTTACAACCCTTGCCTTTTATGATAGAGAATAAACAAACACCAGCTTTAAAAGAGGATTGTGCAACTTCATAGCAGCAGCGTGGCATGTCTGATTGAAAAAAGTAAGGAGGATTGGACCTAATTATTTATTAGATTTATATCTTGCTTGTTCTTCAACTGCTCAAGCTAGCAGGCCACTGCACCCTTCTACATTTTTCCACAACATTAACCTTTGAGTTAAGTGGGGCCAAGAGGGAAGGACTGGTCCAAAGTCACCCAGGGAGTTTCTATGGCTGAAGATGGATTTGAACGTGAGTCTCCTTGCTCCCTGCTCTTAATCCAGCTCTTGGACTGAGAAGGAGAGACTGGCCCAAAATCACTCAGGGAGCTTCAGTGGCTGAGCGGGACTAGAATCCAAGTCTCCCCTTTCATAGTCCAGCACCTGATCCACTATGACAGTTGGATGGGAGTCCACCATGAAATTCCAGGGCTGTAAGTTAGTCAGAAAAACATCCCAGGAGAAAACAGTGGCAAACCACTTCTAGCTCCCTCAGATTCATCAGTACCTTTGGCTTACACAAGATATCAGCTCAAGCTGTCTTTACCTTTTCCACAAATTCACAGAGGATATGTATCAATGACTGTTAGTCAATATGGTCTCCAGATTCAGAAATAGTTTAACTCAAAGTAGCTTCTCTTGGGAAAGAACAACTGCAAAGAGTTCCTGTGTCCAAATCTTCCTAGTGGGCTGCTAAAATAAATCATGACTTGGCCATGGTAGGAAGAAGATACTGGATTAGAGGAATCCCTGACCCTGTCCAGGAGGATAGTTCTTATGTTCACTATGCTTGAATCTTTTGGCTCTGTACACAGCTTGGATTGATTCAAGGAGGGTTTCAATCAACCCTGGAATCTCCCAATGCTGTTTACTTTTCCTGAAACCTCTGATGTGCAACACTGCAGAGCTACTCATCCTCTTAAACCACAGATCAGTCACTCTTTCAGGAACTTCATAACCTTGCATGTTAGTAAAATTCCCCCCGCTTAAAACATTGTTTTTAAAAACACCAAATCTTATGAGAATTCAGGCAAGACCATTGCATAGGCAATCTCATGAGGTTTCAGTCATTTAAAAGTAAGTTTTAAATCAGTGTTTTTCAAACTTGGCAAATTTAAGATGTGTGCTGGGCAATTCTGGGAGTTGAAGCTGGCTGGGGAATTCTGGGATTTGAAGTCCACACATCTTAAAGTTGCCAAGTTCAAAAAACACTGTTTTAAATTATTTGGGGAGGTCCCATGGACATCACCTGGGTTTCACAGGGCACCCATTGAAGCCACATTACCAACTCCTGCTTTAAACACTGTCCTTTAACTCTTTTTTTTTTGCTTTTAATTTCACCTGGGAGAGAGCTCTGATGGTTCCTGGTCCTTCTTGACAATATATGGGCTGAGTTGGGACTTTGCTAGCTCAGCTTCCTGCATTTCCCAAAAGCTCCCTCAGATTCATCAGTACCTTTGCCTTACACAAACATAAGACGTTGCCTTACTCCCAAGCAGACCCCTGGCCAGCACAGACCCCTGACCCACAAAGCCTAGTAGCTTTCTGGGTCTCGGGCAGGATATGTTCCAGGCCTCACCTGGAGATGTCTGCGGTTGATGCCAGCCCTCCTTGCATCAAGCCAAATGCTGAGCAACGGCCCTCCCTCACAAAACCACCATTTTGTCTAGGACCAACAGCTTCAGCCAAGTAGCTGAAAGAGCAGAAAACAGGCTCCATCTGGACATTTGCGTCTCTCACCTGAAGTAGTCACTGCAGGCCGCCAAAACAACTTTGTGCACCTGAAAGACCTCATTGTTGATGGTGAGGATGACATCCAGCAACTGGGCCTGAGCTCGTAGAGACGCCAGGCCGTGCAGGAGGGTAACGCTGTGGCCTGGAGCAGAGAAAGTGCATTTCAATGTGCTGTTCTTGTCCGCCATGCTAGAAAGGGAGAGAGAAAGAGAGAGAGGCATAAATTAAGGGGTGTGTTTTTTTTCTTTAATTGCTCGTACAGGTAGCTCCAGGCCTTTGATCTTTTTAATTACCCTTTTCTGCAGCTTTTCCAGCTCTACAATACAGAGGGGAGCAGGTGTATATAGAGTTTGGGGACAATACATCCTATTGCAAAACTGTCACACCACGGATTTGCAAGGAAGCACTAGTATTCCTTGCTCTGCAACAGTCTCTCAAACTGCAGCTACCTTTTACTTTTTACACAAGAATGAAGGGATCAAGGCCACATCTCCCTGCAAAAGCATTCTTCGAAGTCATAATTCAAGAAACACCTTCAAGCTCCACCGTGGTCGCCAGCGGAGCCTTTATCCCTCCCCCCCGCCCCCGCTTTAACAAAAATGAAGACAGGAAGGGTGGCCTTGCAAAATATGAAACTGAACATGATATAACTTCACTTTTTCATTGAAAAGCTATTAGAACGGGGAGTGGGGGGGGCTGGAAGAGAGAGAGGTCACATTGCAGAACGTGAAATAATGGCATTTTGAAAAAAAACACTTCAATGCCTTCTGGCCTTGCAGTTCTGTGCTTTGTGCTACTGTAGTTAGGAAGAAAAAAAAGTAAAGAACAGCATCTACTCCTTGGCGGAGACTCCAGGAAAGACACAAAAGAAAACCTTGAATGATTCTTCACCAAGGCCCACACACCACGATTGTGGTGATCACTTGGTGCTATTTGCTTGTAGCTGAACCCCCACTGTTTCAACCTGTTCAGAACTCACCTTGGGAACTTGGAAGAAACTGGAACTTGGTTTTTAGCTAAAAAGAATTTACTCTTTTAACAAAGCTTCTCTTTTCTCTGGAAAAGGGTCTAATGCTGGGAAAGGTGGAAGGAAAGAGAAGACGATGACGACCAGCAGCAAGAGGAATGGACTCAGTTACAGGGGTGATGGGGGCACCCTTGGAAGGCCTGAAGGACCAGGTTAGGGGATCGATCCTCCTGGAGAAAATCTATCTATGTGGTCGCTAGGAGTCGAAAACAACTCGATGGCACATAATCAATCATAATCCATCTCTTTTCAAACCACTATTTAAGACTACTTTACTCCTCCCCTACTAAGTGACAAGCCACTTTAAGCAGGTGGCAGTGTAGCCTCTCCTCTCCAGTTTTCCTTAAAAATCAGATCCTCCTTTCCTCTCCAGCCAGGGATTAACAGGGAGGATCTCTAATGAGCCACTAAACACTGCAACTTGACCAGCCCATCTTTCTACAGAACTGTTATGGTTTGAAGGTGGACTCTCCCATGCAGACTTTGCTTTGCTGCAGGGAAACAAATGCCCCCCCCCAAATGCCCTCTGGGCACAGCCAAATATTTGCACCCCTTAGTTATTAAGCCTCTGCTTGGCTGCAAAAGATTGGCAAACTGGTTTACAGCCAAAATTGAGTTATATCCAGGTTGATCCAGGCTGTGTTCACTGATACAACTTTCTCTCTCCCCTTCAAGTGATAGCCTCTGAAATTATTGGGCAAAATGTCTGAGTAAAAGATATTCCCAATCCGTTCGGTGCCAGAAGATGGTGAAATTAATAATAATAATAATAATAATAATAATAATAATAATAATAATACCACCACCACCACCTTTACATGGTTGTGGGGCCTGCGTGCTCAGAAGAGGATGAGAGCTATGCCAGAGGTTCAACCATACTGGGCAGGTCTCATCAGAGGAGCCAGAAGAAGAGTGCCTCTCTCATAAACAGTATGGTGAGACATAGTTTACAGAACCCTATACCAGATCAGTCGTTGCCCGGGTCAACAAGGACCATGCTAGGTGTTCTAGTTCCTAGACATCTGGTGACAAGTGGGCTACAGGACTCAGGACTGTTGGTTGAGCAACTAAGACCAGCAATTACAGGACTACTGGAAGAAAAGTTGTTTACTCGTTGCAAATATACAAAGACTGAAAACAAAGAAATAGTGATCTACTATTACAAAGCAAGTCTAACAAGAAGAGGATATCTGAAAAGAATGCATCGCTTCTGGAAAGAACAACTTCCAGAATCA